TTACATCAGGGGTGTCCAAACTTTTTTCTCCGAGGACCACATACGGAACAATATACGAAGGGCTGGGCCACTCACTAGAGCTGAGGTACTGTATATTGCCTTATCGGTTAAGTTCAAAGTTAGCAAAATCAATCAAATGCAGGTAAATTATGCTTGAAAAAACAGCCTACATCACAGCTCTCCAAAGGGTTTAATTTACTTTGTTGGCAATATGAAGGGTATATTTCAAGCGTGTTATGTAAGTGAGTTATTGAGCTTTTTTCTTATCAACTTAGATTTGTTAGAAACATGTTTTCTACTTTAATTGACAGAATATATTTGGAAAATGGGCTTATTAACACATGAATAATGTGTTATATATTTGTACATTATATATTTAAGAAGTACAACATAAGACAAACACAAGTTTAATTTATGGGCCATATTTTATTATACTTTTTTAATTGGCTCAGGGCCGATTCAAAATGGCCTGCGGGCCGCATTTCGCCCCCGGGCCATAGTTTGGACACCCCTTATTTATATGCACAAAAACCTAAATAACACGCTACAGGCAAGGGGAAAGCATAACAGGGCCTCTTTAAAACTTCACCAACTGTTTTATCTACTTTTCTCATCGACTTTTTATTCCACATATTTCACAAAATATGTTTTAATTAAGCCTAGAAATAGTCTCCAGACTTGTTGCAAGCAGCTGCGGGTTATACCTACGCTCAGCTGTTTGCATACTAAGTATCAACAGAGGAGAGCTCTGAAAGCATAAGAGACCAGACCACTTTACTTAAGACTAGAATGTGGAAAGTGTGTTTAATCGAAAAAAGCAATTGAAATTGTGAGTGGTTTATTGAAGCTGCTGTAAGAGTAATTCAAATTGATATTTTTTTTGTTGCTTCTTTGATGGATTTCTCCCTGCGTGACTGCTGGGAAATTGTAAGTGCAGAATCAAGGTCTTACTATTTAATTCAGGGTAACCGACACCGAAATCTGTCTTAGAGCTGAGAAACCGTGTACTGCTTGTAGCTGAGTGGAAAATACCTCAACATAATGTCACATCGGTGTCAACAGATGTCAGCAAGAAGAATAGCATACCCCCAAATAACTACGTGGGCCTGTAAATGTAAGGTATTGGGTCATTTATGGTCTTTTTTCTTACAGTGCTAGACCATTTTAGCTCAGATTTTCCTATATGCCTGCTAACCTTGATAACAGTTTTTACTCAGAAGCTCACCTTCCTTTAACAACAAAAGAAACCATCAGATGCTGGGTGCTGATAAAAAACACTTCGTTGTTTAAGCAAGGCTTTAAAATGGGAGAGCGGCAGGTATCGACGTCTTCCTACAGCAAATGGTCGCAGTATACATTATTCATTGGTTGTGAAAGCAATTTAATGTCCATTTTATAGGTTGCATCATGTTGTATGTCATAGTTCCAGCTGACATGTACATGGGGATCAAACGTAGATAAAGGATTCATGCATGCCACTCCAAGACATGAGGCCCATGAATCCACTCTTTCTGAAAGCAAAAGACTTTCAGGCCTAAGGCTTAAATTATGGAATCAAAGGTGTTAAATGTACACTGCATGGACCGAGGATGGGAGAATACGTCTGTCACCCCACTAACTGTGTGGATTCATCTAAATGCATACAGTGCAGTCACCTAAAGTATGAAGAAAGAAATTCATTTTGTATTTTTCCTGCACTTTACTAAAGCTGATTGGATTTGAAATAAAACAATGACTAAAAGGGTTAAAGGTGGGGTAGGTAAGAATGGAGAAACCAGCTCGAGTGCGCTAGAATTTGACGCAGCCGAAAAAAATCTTCTTCCCCTACTTCAGACTTCCTTACAGAGCCCCTCCTCCAACACACACGAACACGACCAATGAGGGCACGAGATAAGTTTGTGCACAGATGGAAGGCTGACAGGCAGGTAGGCCATCCAGTTATTTTAGCCGGGCCGGCTCAGATGATTGGTCGTGCTTTTTACAGCGCCACGGCTTCCACAGATCATATTTTGTATGTATTTATTGTCAAAGCATTTAATATATTCATTGCTATCGGGATGTTAAGAGCATTCCATGGAATATAACAAAAAGTGTTTCTGAATTGAATTACCTACCCCACCTTTAAGTGCTCAAAATTAGTTTTTTAAGAGGACATATTATTCCCATTTTCAGGTTCATATTTGTATTGTGTGCCTCTACTGCTGCTCCATGCTTTAATGTTCAAAAAGCCCTTTATTTTTCTCATACTGCCTGTGCACCTCTTTTCACCCTCTGTCTGAAACCAGGGCCCAGTCTGCTCTGATTGGTTAGTTGGTTGGCTTTGTTGTGATTGGTCAACCGTTTAGAGCTGTCCCGCCCCTTAGCCTATCACGTACAATGTGTTGGAGCGCTAGCCTATAGAAGTGAAAGTGTTACATAATGATGTTACGGATTAAACAAAGGAGTCCAAATCGAGGTGTTACAGGCGGGGGGCGGGACTTTAAAAAAGAGCCTTTGCAGACAATGTACATGCACAACAAGTTGTATAACACCCTTACAATTGGAGTCCCTTGTTTTTTTTATTAGAACTGTGAAATGTGAATAGGTAAAAGGGGCTGTATTTCTCTTGAATAATGGCTTGTCGAGAAAACATGATTCAGAGGGTGTCAGTGTCTCACCTTTTCGTTATTCTTGTACACAGCTGGCCACTGAGAACTGTCATCAAAGTAGAGCAATATGTTCTGACAGCAGCGAGACTGCACAGAGGAGAGAGAGAGAGCACAGATCAGAGAGGAGGCAGCGAGACCCTTTCAGATTTATACCGCAAATACTGTTTCCAAAGTCGGCAGGGAACAACAGCAAAGCAAGGCTTCTTGGGTAAAAAGAAGACAGAGCAGAAGAATAAAACAGATGCTTAAAAAAGATGGAGCTGGGGGAGAGGAAGAGGATGATGCGGGTAAAGCAGAAACAGCCGGAGGAAGAAAGAGCGATGGGATCAGTTTAGGTGAAGGAAGAGGAAAATACTAAAGTAAAGAAAGGATGACAAAAGAGGAAAGTTAAATAGTTTTGTTGCAAGGCAAGAAAGCGTGGGCAAGCTGAGAGACACACACGAGAGAGAGAGAGAGAGAGAGAGAGAGAGAGACACACACACACACACACACACACACACACACNGTCTAAAAGTAATTTGCCCTAAACTAACCGAACTGCGAAGGCAGCTTCGAAGGTTTTCAACTTGTACCAAAAGTTGAAAACCTGCGCCGTTGCGCATCGATGCGAGGGGGTTACGTCAAGCCGCTTCGCACTTGCAGTGGGGTAAGGTTTCACTTACCCGTCTTTCGCAACTCCGAAGGGTGCGGCGACATACCTGCCCGCCATTTGCGCGCAGTGTGTCGCTCGCACGCACTTTCGAACGGACACCCGCACACGACTTGAGCTTGTTTTGGTTAGTGTACTTAAGGCCGAGGCGTGTGTCGTACTCAAACTAACCGATCTGAAATGACCGTATAACTAAACTTAAACCGACCGCGAACAGCTTCGAAGTTTATCAACTGTACAGGTTGAAAACTTCACCCGTGCGCTCGTTCGCCTCGTTGCCTTGGTGTTACCGTCAAGCGTTTCGCACTGCCAGTGGAAGTTTACACTTACCCTCTTCGCAACTTCGAGTTGCGATGCGGGGGCACACCTGCCCGGCTATTCACAAAGGTGACTTGTGTACGGTGTCTTTTGTAAACTTTTTCACATAATGATAATTGACATAAATAAGATAAACTTAGGATAAAAAATACGTCAACAAACTTTACCCACAAACCTACACCTGCGACAATAAAACAAAAAACAATTATCTCTTTGGGTAAAATGATAAACGGAAGTGTTTTGACAAAAGAGAAACAAGTCCCACTCTACTAAGCGCAATTAACCTAGAGTACGGAACTTGTCCTTGAGGAGGTCCAGGGTGACATAGAAGGAAACCGTAAATCTCCAATACGGATTTTCTTATAGATAAAATTACAAAACAAACACAAAAGACACCACAAAAAAACAAATTATACGGAAAAAGGACGTAGCAAAAATTTCGGTCTTCCTTTTACACAAAGGGGTTTAGAGTCAGAGCGAGCGCCTAAGCAGACTACGATTCATACAGGGGAGGTTACTTTGGACCACCTAAATCGACCCCAGTCTCGCTCCGACCCCTTCTGACCCATCAGACTCTGACCAAGACTGAAATGGTCAAGGTATAAATTACAACTTTCGGATTTAGCAACCAAAAACGTTATTATACGAGTGGAAGATTTGTACAAATGTGGTGAACTATTTCACTACAGCTCAACCCTAAAATCTCAGTGCGCAGATAAAGTTGCTAGCCAATCAAACCGCGTGTATGCTGCGAGTAGTGAATCACCCGGTGCTGTATGATCAGTCTCTGTTCATCTACCGGGATACAAACCGGAGGAGCCAGGCATGGAGGGAGGTGGCAGAGACAGTGGGTGAAACTGGTAGGTTTTCGCCTGTTTGGGGAGTTTATATCCAGTGTACCTCGTTTAAACATTGAATGGACAGCTAGCAGGCATAGACAGTATATATAGCTAGCATGGAATGCTAGCATTTTGCTTTGTATGTCGGGGGCGGGAGATTCATGTGATTGGTTGTTGGTCGCGTTGCTCGCGTTGACTCCCCAAGCTTCAGACACGCCCACCGCCAAGCGTCAACGCAAGCTGTTGTGTGGACGCTCCGTTGCGGTACGTCCACACGGCAGCGTCGCGTTGAAGCTTGCCGGTGGGCGTGTCTGGTGTGCGACCAACAACCAATCACATTAATCTCCCGCCCCGGACACACAAGCAGGCAGTTTGATTGGCTAGAACTTGTACTGGCATATGATTTGATTGGCTGGCGCTTCCGTCGACGCTTGAAAAGTTGAACTTTTCTCAACTTTTGAAGCGAGCAACGGAGGCAAAGCGACGGAACCACAATGCAAAGGCAAAATGTCATTTTGTGTTTGCTGGTCAAATGAAGACACGTACCTCGAACAGCAGGTTCAGAGCCTCCTCCTCACTGTGGACCGGGTGAAGGGACAGACCTCTGATGAATACTCCTCTGCCTGGCTCCTCACTAACCACCATACTACGTGGACTGGGGAGTGCTGAGCTTTGCAACGAGGCCAGCAGGTCCACCAGGGTCTCATTGTAGATCTCCAAGTAGGACAGGTATACAGAGAAAGTGTGCTCAGTCCTTTTCTGCACCTCCTGAAACACCTGAATACCAAAAAATGATATAAGTTATAAGTTAGTAAAAATGTAGGTAAATGATGCTTGTTACTTGAATATGCCTTAAGAAAAAACTGCCTACATCCCAGCTCTCCAGAGGGTTTCATTTGTTTTGTTTTTTTGTTTCATCCCTTAAAAGAGGAGCCTCAGATTGATTATAATAAGGGGAAATAGGAAGGGTATATTTCAAGCTTGTTATACAAATAAGTTATTGGGCTTTTTTCTTATCAACAAAAAAAAGAATTCTACTTTAATTGACTGAATTTCTTTGAAAAATGGGCTCATTAACACATGAATACTACTGTGTAATATATGTTCACATATATATTTAAGATGTACAATACAAGACATGCACAAGTTTAATTTGTGGGCCATATTTCATTATAGTTTTTTAATCGGTTGGGGGCCGATTCAAAATGGCCCCCGGGCCGTAGTTTGGACACCCCTGGTTTAAGTGGAGCAGTCAGGATGTTTCAGATGCACTTTCACATAGTGCGAGTTACCTCCTGAATGGCCCGAGGAATGACGCCTCTCTGCTTGTATGATTCTGTGGAGCCTGTCATGGTGTATGTCTTTCCTGCACCCGTCTGCCCAAAACACAGCACAGTACCTGAAAGACACGCAGGGAGTTTATTAGACCGTGTTGTTCTCTGGCTCAATAAAGAAAAAAGGATGCATTAAACTTGCTTATCAGGTATAAACTCTCGACTACACATAACACAGTGTTAGGTAGATGAACAGATTTACCATTATAGCCATCCAGTGCTCCCAGCACCACCCGTCTGCAAACTCTGGTGTACACCTCTTCCTGGGATACATCCTGCAGGACGCCCTCCAGTCGGAATGACCAGGAACTCCGCTGAATCTTTCTGGGGCAGAGGGGCTTCCTGGTGTCTTTCTTGTGATGAATATTCACTGTCTTAACATAATAAAAGTTTTGAGTGTACCAAACTAAATCAAAAAGTCTAAGTTAACTTTAATGTCAATCTTCCAGTTTGTGTGTACAGACAGAGATCGAAATACTGTTTCCCACAATCCCGAATATAAAAACAAATGTATTTAGAATATAAAAATGTGTCCAAATATGTATTTATATACATAGAAATCAAAGACACATTTAGACCTAAATAAAAACACAACAGTCATACAAAATAAGAGTCACTTCAATATTTTGAGAATGTAAATTAGTGCAGATTGTCCATCGAATGTCCAAATAAATATTAGTGCAAGATTGTCCATATAATTATTATTTAAACTAATACTTTCATGACATTATGCCACAACATTTATAGAGGTTTGAAATGTAAGGAAAACAAGATGAAGTGCCAAATGAAATACAAATTATTAATGAAGTCAGGCTTAATAGCAGTATTGTTATAAAAGACTGCAGTAGTTTCAAATGGGTGTATATCCAACTAGCAACCGACTGTGTGTGTGTTGAGCATCCAGGGCTGCAACCAATAGTTAACGTCATTATTATCAAAAGGAATCTGTTGTTTTATCCATTTTCAATTAATTGGTTAGTCTATAAAATGCCATAAGATTTTTAGGAGATACACTTAGCGCAACATGGTGTCTTGAAATGGCTTGTTTTGCCTAACCAACAGTCCAAAACCTAGAGATATTACATGGAACCTAGTGGCATTACTGCCTAACATAATAATGACTGATTGAGCGATTAAACAAACAAACATTAAACCAGTTGCAAATGAATAAAGCAACTATCCTTAAGCAACATACTGACTCAGTATAACTTTAGAAATGTTGTCATAGAAAGACAGGAACAGCTCCAAGTAAAACAGTGATGGAATGCTTTCCTACATTAAATTGCTTGCTAAGCATCATGCATAACAAGCACATATCAGGACCTTGGAACTTGACACCTAGCATTATGAATTGGTGCCATCATTAATTAAAGTGATAGCACCTGTAACCTTTTTTGCTTTGACACATCGGCATTGGTTATGACTGACATAAAAAAGGCCTCTAAGGCAAAAGTTACAGTGGTTATATTTGTGAAAGTTGTGGTTTGGCCCCAATAAACCCTAGCTAATAAGACTATCGTTTTATTTGGATTTACCGAATTAACGTCAACCGGTTTAAATTAGCCGGCTTCACGTGATTGACTTGCAAACAACCAGAATCATGCTAGCTGGGAAAATATAATTTGAAGTTACATTTTTAACCTCAATACAAATAAAACTTTGACTCGCTTTATGTTTTAAAAAAATAAAATCAACGGGAAGTTAAATAAACTTTAATTCCGACTAAAAGGGGGTTTACCTGTCCGTCAGGAAGACATTCAATAATGTCTTGGGAGAAGTTTGCCGTTGGTCTGATCCGGACAAACACTCCGACCTCACCGCTGTGAGCCTTCATATCCCCTCAACAGAAACACGGCGACAACACTACAAAACTCAAGTTGAGTGCCTTTAAACCTGCGTCAGACTCGCGGATATTTTTAACTAAATCCACCTGAACTAAAAGAATCAGGGCTTATCAGGTGAGAATTGCTCATTTTAGCTCACTTTATCAGCTACAGTATATCTCCTCTGTTCACCTTCTGTGGTTTCCATTCAGCGTCATGGCAACGCCTGTTCGTGCGCAGAGGCAGAGCGGCGCCAGTGCAACCCTATGGCGTTATATTTGTGCCTCTATCCTGAGCACGCAATGAAACATGTTGAGCCTAGAAAATGCGATTGAACGCACACTTGAACATTTTTGAGCACAGAGAAATATATTTTCTCTCATAAAACTCCTGCTCCGTGCGCAAGCAGACCGCTGCACGCGCTCTCTCTCCCTCGCTCGCTCGACCTCTCCACCCTGTGCGCGCTCAGCTTTGCCTGCCTGCTCGCTCAAGTTGTCACAGCGTTACAAATGTGCCACGAAACCAACCAATCGGAGAACTCGAGAAGGTCAATTCTGATTGGCTGGTCCAGCACCATGTAGAGAGAAGAGTTGCGACAGCGGAAGTCCAAAATGCTTGATTGTCACGTGGTTCAGAGAGACTCAGAAAGTTCCCGGAAGTTTGTGGCGGGCCATTTGAATCACGATTTGAATGCATTAATAACAGGATAGAAATGCAATTTTTGGTAGTTATTGGTCAATAAAGGTTTTGATTTACAATATGTATACAACATATCGATATGTGTATGTAGTTACATCAATGTGTTTTTGTTTTTTTTAAGTAAAATGTGCTAATNCTTGTTTTACCCAGAACCGAACCCGGAAAAAAGACGTTTGAAAAATACCACCCGCGAATCACCTTTTTATGCGGGTACCCGACCCGATGCAGGACTCTGTTGTGAGCACAGTGTGCTCTGATTGGTCGGGACGTCGTGAATCGCGCTAAGCTCCGTGGAGGTGTTGCTTCCTTGTTTAGCGGTACACAGCGAAACACAGCCAAACTCACCCTGAGCACACACAAAGTAAAAACAATAAGTGTGGCTTGATATTGAGTAAGAAAAAAGGTTGATAAACGCTGTGAGAATGGGTCTGCAGAGAGAATTTCGCCGCGATCCCAACTGTCTGTTATCAGCCTGCAGCCAGGGAGGAGAGATCAGCAGAGCTGCCTGCACTGAGTGTGTGTGTGTGAGGAAGTCCGAGGATTGGTCAATTTGGACCAATCAGCGGGGGCTTAACGTAACGGCTCCGCGGACGTAACGTAACGGCTCCACGGATTGGTCCATTTGGTTCCGGGTAACGCATGAGTTACCCGGAAGAATCAATGTACAGTGACGTATCTCCAACGAGGCGTTTTGGGGAGGTATTTTCTGTGTTAGAGTTTTACTCGCTACAGGGTGTACTTTGAGGGACTCTGCAGACCGTTTACATGCATAAAAACCTTCATAACACACAAGGGGACGGGTAATAACCAGAAAAGCATGACATGGGACCTTTAAGTCTTTCTTTGTGAAACCGCCCCCTCAGGAGGTAAATGGATGATAAGTCATTTTGGCTGGAATAAGTCTATACCAATTTTAATATCAATCCATTCAATAGTCGTCTAGACATTTCGCTCAAAAGCACAAATGTCAGCCTCATTCTGCCCTGGAGGAGCAGTCGGGGAATCCCTCGGTCGCTAACATTTATTGTGTGAGGGCCATAAATGTCTGAGCAAACCTTTGTGACGATTCATCTTTCCGATGTTGAGATGTTGCTCTGGATAAGTGAAAACTTTGACCTGCCGACAGCGCAAGCCGTAAAGTAAGTAGTATTCATTAACTAGGAACCCATCTGTACCCCAGTGTCACATTAATCCATCCAGCAGATGTGAGATATTTCAGACTGAAGTTAATGACTAAGAGATGACATATAATTACCGCCTCTCTTTTGTACGCCTCGGCCAAATTCAAGTTGCAATTTGCATCCATGTCCGCCCGAAAAGTCATCATTTAATCCCATTAGACATTTGCATGAAATTGTCATAATTACAAAAGTCAATTTGTGAGTTATGGCCAAAAGTGTGCTGTAAGGCCACAGTGAATTAAAAAGGAGACTAAAGGGGGAAAGGGAAGTCTAACAGAAGGGCAGAGATTCAGAAAAGTTAAAAAGAGGTGGAGAAGATGAAAGAAAATAAGCTATTCTTAATATTATGCAGCCATAAGCTTGGCAGCATGAGAGCAGATAATAGTGCTGATGGTGTACTTCACTCAGCTTACATAAGCCACTGCAGCTGCATCTGTTGGCATATCAGTCATTGGAGGTCTATATATTCAGTATATATATTTATATTTATTATATACCGCTATGGGCAGACACATTCCTTAGATACAGATCATAGTGCTGAACACAGCAGTAACCCCACATCACTTATATGGTGTTTACACACTCTCCTTATCTGGAGCACTGCCCGATGAGGTGGGTCACACTGAGGCTGCCAGAGCAAATAAAGAGTTTTCAACCAGAATAAGACATTTATTCTTTAAAAGCTATACTTGCAAGAATTTTACAACAAATTAGAGATTTTTTGATTTAGATAAATGAGAGACTGGAATGCGATCTGAAATATTGCAGATTTTTGGTAAATGCTTTGTAATCAACAGAAAGCAGAAAACTTGGTTTTCGTGATGATTGATGGACCAAAGCCTCTTTATTTCACAAACATTGAATTATTAAATTAGCGTAACAACTGATTGATGTTGAAGAAGTTGATTTTTAGAGTGTTTTTGGCTCAAACTACCAACAGTCTGTATCAGTTATTCAGAATTGTCTATAAAAACGCTCACAAGAGATTCGTTTTGAAGCCCAGCACCATTATTGTTTTACCAAAATGCTCATAATCTAATATGCTTAACCCTCCATTGTCTTCGTCGTCGTCGTCGTCGTCCCCCCCTTTACTTTGCTGTTCACGTTCAAATGTGACCGGTCCTGTTTTAACTGCTATTACATTAACACAAAAACCATTAATCATCACCAAATTTAATTTAACACCCTTTCAAACTGTAACTATTGTATCAGACTACTGGTATACATGAAAAACTGCAAAATAAATAAATTGTAATTATGGTTGAATAACATTGTCTGCTGCATTTGTTTGGTCAATTTAAACGGTAAGTAACGTTATTATGTCAGGTGCGCGTGACCTGTGCCGCTGCGCATTCGTCATCTGCAAGGTGCTTACACAGCAGTCAGTGATGGAACTCAGAAAATGGTTAAAACAACCAGCCCTAATCGCCAGCAGTAACACTGCATCTACTGCAGGTAATAACAGTTCAGATCATGGGGACATTACGTTACCCGCGGCCACTGTCGTGGACACTAACGTCCTCCCGCCCGACTCGCCGGCTTTGCCCGCCTTGCCCACGGAGGCGGAGCAGCCGCAGCCGTCTTCGTTGCCCCAAACACCGCCACCCCTCGGTGGCCCACAAGTGCCAGATGACATCGGCAAAACAGAGCCTGCTCAGGTATATTTAAAAAAGTACCCAACTCTCCTGTACAGTGGGGTAAGGCGCTCATTTTGCAGCTCATGGTTTCAAAACAGAGATTGGCTGGAATATTCATGTGAAAAATATGCCATCTTCTGCTATGCATGTAGACATTTCGGTTCAAGTAAGTCAGATGCCTTCACCACAACTGGCGCCATGCTCTTATAGGTGACATGAATCAAGCAAAGAGCACATAGATCTCTTCCTGTTGCTCTCAAAGTGCACCAGATTGATGCTTTTAACTTCAATATTTAAAAAAAAATCTTCCTGGGGGAGCATGCCCCCGGACCCCCCTAGAGGAGGTGAGGATCCCCCTCGAGGGTGTTAGGTCCACTCCCCTCTTATAAAAAATAGCACTTTACCACTGCACCCTCTCTAATCTCAGATGCACCCTGAGTCATTTTGTTGTCTGATCTGATCTGGATGGTTACTAATTCCTTTTCTTTATGGCGGTCATTTTTGAGCGGGAACACCATGGTGTTACAAAGTTGACTAAATCATCCAAAATGCAATGAAAGTGTTGATCAGCAATTTTACATGTTCAAATGTCTACTTTGAAGGATATCATAAAGCCTTAATGCAATCGAATGCAAAACAAAACAGTTATGATTGATGAAAGTAGTAAATCGGTCAGATTTGACCCGAAGACAACAGGAGGGTTAATTAAACATAAGAGCACTCTCAATATATTTGTTCTACAAAACCCCCTTTTTAATCAGCAGCCATTTAGTCTTTATTTGTGTGTTTGACAGCAAACTCAACATTTAGTGGACTGCTGCCAGACAAAATAAGCATGCCAAGCTCTAGGACATTGTGACAGATATTTAATAATATCTTATACAACAAATTATTATTCTATCAATCATTTTGCAAACAACAATGCCAAACTGTTTTCTTTGAATGTTATAGTTTTCTGCTTCGTCTTGTCTTAAATGATAGTAAACTGAATATCCTTGGGTTTGAGATTGTCACTTTGACAGGAAGACGTCTCGTTGGGCTTTTGGAAATGTTGATGGACATTTTCTATTATATTCTGTCATTTATTTTTAGACCAAACTATTACCATTTCATCCAGACACCTATAGCAGAAAAAGTTGTTCATTAGCTTCAGGCCCTTCTCTGATTTAGATAAGAAGTTATCTGATCACAGCAGAAGAAACCAAAGTATAGAATCTGACAAAGCCAAGCTTCAAAACTTTTCCTTAAAACTCAATGTAACAGTTTGGTCAATAAAACTGTAAAGTATTGAGCTTCATATCCAGCGCTGATCAAACTCTGAGAATGATTTGGTGTATCTCAACTTGGCTTTCTTACAACCTCATCCTAACTTGATATGACGACCCACCAGGTAATCACTGATCATTTCACAGAACAGACAGCTTAATGATTCTTCTGCAATGTAGCTTCTAAGACCGGGAAATAACAATTACATAATATACAAAAAAGTCCCCTTTTATCAGAGAATTATCTCTTTTTTTATGCATCTCCAAGTTTGCTTCGGGTAACGTTTTTTAAAACTAAACTATCCCTTTCAAATGTTAAGACTAACACATTGAAAACACTGCATTCACACATTATTGTATGTTTCAATTCTGTTTCACCACATGTTGGATAACTGGACTTAAACTCACAATGTACAGTTTACATTTGTATTTCATGTTGTATTCCATTCCTTACACACTTGTATGTATATAATATCCTGCTTTACAGTTTATTGGTATTTAAACATGTATATTTTCTACTTTTTTAATGCCGTTTTATTTCTATCTCTGCAGCGCATACATTTCACAAATTGGGATCAATAAAGTACATCTTATCTTATCTTAGGGCTGCACGAATGGGATTCTTTTGGCTAACATCACAATTTCAATTTGATTCACGATATAGGAGTGATTCACCATTTTTGCATCCATTTTCTCATTAAAAAAATATATTACTACGGTTATGGTGTGACTTTTAAAGATGATCCGTACCAAGTCTGTTTTTGTGTAGCCAATAATAAATACCATTCTTTATACTAAATGGTATTTAAACAAATATTCAGCTTCCTGCGATTAGAAAATTGCACTATCCATATTGAGATTATGATCAAATTGTAATTAATTATGCAGCCCTAACAACATCTCAGCCTCTTCAGGGACTAGAGCACCGTTCTGCGTTCCTTTATCAAAAGTGTCCTGAAGGTTGGTTGT